AAAGGAAAAAAAAAAAAATGATTTTCCGGATTTCCCATCTTCCAATCTTCCAAATTTTCCAGGCGTAATATTTTTCCGGGACCCAGTCAGATCTCTGGATCTCCATCTCCAATCTCCAATCTTCAACGTCTTTTTTTCTCCGATCTTCATCTCCGATCTCCAATCTCCAATCTCGACTTGTGGGGGAGGCGTGTCGGGGGGGGGAATCGACGTCCTTCCAAGGGGATGCTCTTTTCCTTTCACGCCTTCAAGCGGATCTCCACCCTCTTTTCGCGCCATTTTGCAATCTCCAGTCGGCCACACGATTCTCTAGGCGCCTTTGGCGCGAAGTCAACATCTCCGCCTCCGGCCTGAGATCTCGAGGTGCCGATGGCGGCAGCTCAAGATCTCTACGTTCAGTTACAGATCTCTGAGTTTTGTGCGAGATGCTGTGTGTGGAAGATCTCTGATCGGCATCTACGATCTCCACTCAACAAATCTACTGGTGTCCCGTAGAGATCTTGATGTATGGCCTGACAAACAAGAGAGTTTTGTCGCAAAATTGTGTTGGGCTCTGGACGAGCGCAGAAATTCTGTCTACATACATACCAAGAGAGCAGTTCAGTTCGCCCCACAGAGAGAGTACCACGCACAATAACACGGGTTTGCGTCGCCACACACAAACTCTCTCTCTCTCTCTCTCTCTCTCTCTCTCTCTCTCTCTCTCTCTCTCTCTCTCTCTCTCTCTCAGTCTCTCAGTCTCTCTCTCTCTCTCTCTCTCTCAGTCTCTCTCTCTCTCTCTCTCTCTCTCTCTCTCTCTCTCTCTCTCTCTCTCTCTCTCTCTCTCTCTCGCCACACCCATCGGTGACCCAAAGGGTCCTGACGGAAAAGAAAAAATCCTTTCGTTCTCGTCTCGTCTCGTCGCGTGCTTGCGCAAAAGCGTATGACGGACAGCGCGCCGTTTGCTCCCGCGCCCCCGCGCCCACCGCAGACTTGAAAGGACAAGTGCGAACAAACCCAAATTTGCGCGGGCCCAAAGGGAAAGAGAAATTTGAAGCGGGGGTCCCGGTTCACAATGTGTGTCTGGCCTTTTCTCGGGGCCGCGCCTGCGGCGCGCCGTGATTTCTTAGATTGTTGCGGAAATCGCTCGGCGTGGTTGCTGCCCTGTTTTCTTAATGCACGCCGAGTGAACAAAATTCTTCCTTCGCAACCTACGTAGCGCGCGCGGGGGGGGGGGGAGGGTGGCAAGGGCCGCCAGAAGGAGCTGGGCGCTCCCAAAAGATGGATGGCCTCCCGGAAGAGTTGGTGGTTCGTATTCCGTCGACACTCGGTTGCGTGCGCACCATCATGGCCTTTTGCAGCACCAGCCGCACAAACGCAGCTCTCCGCTTGGCCATGATTGACGCGCTCAATGGCCAGCTGGGTGCGCGCGGCATTGACCCTGATGTGCTGGCCGCAAGCGGCGTGCGCAAGCAGATCGAGCTCATGACCATGGCCTGCCGCCCGAGAAACCATCCCCGCGTGAGCGTCCACATCAGTTTCAGGAACGGCCACACCACGGGCGACGGAGGGCATCCAGAGGGGTTTCCGATTGAGTGCTCCACTCGCACGGAGGGGGTGCGCTTGGTGCGATCTGCCAACGTACCAGAAGCGCTTCTGTTCCACCTCCGCGGCGCGCTTTCCCAACACGTGACGGCCCTGCAGCTGGCCGCGCCCAAGCCCGTGCAGATGATGGGGCTTTACCTTCACAAGCTACTGAATGGCTCGATCGTGTCCAACGGCAACAGGCGGTGCCTGTTCACGCAGCTTCAGCAGGCGGGCGTTGTGGCCATGCACCGCGGTCAGCAGCTCGACACACTGGAGCACGTGCGGCACTTCAGCACGCTCCACGTCACGCTCCACGCCGGGGTAATGCGCAGCGTGCGCACGCGGTCATGCAGGCGTGGTCGGCCGCCAGTCGGCGCAAGCTCCTCCTCGTCGGACGACGCAGCACCGTACACCTCCCACATGATGGGGTCTAAGCTGGCACACGGATAAAAAATTCCTTCTTTCTTCGATCGAAAGAAGTCGGTCGCCAAAAGCGTGCCATTCCGACGTTCACTCCTGCGCCACTCCCATCGCGGACCATCAAGATGGTCTCCGCCAGCCCCGCTCAAGCGAGCTCATCTTGCGACGTCGCTCCGGAGGGGAACCGCTGCACCTGGCGGGTGGGCGGCCCTTGCGGGTTCGGCTTCAGGCACGACACGCGACCGTCCGCCTGAAGACGCTGCAGCACCTCCTCGGCGACAATCGCCTCAACCTCCAGCTCGGCGGCAAGGTCGTGCGCCGTGATGTGCGCACCGATGTGGTCTTCCAGACCCTCGCTCGCCTCTTGCGTGAGCCGCTCAAGGTCCTCGCCGTTCCCTCGACGACCGCCCCGCAGCCCGACGCCGCCTCGCAGCTCGTCCTCGTCGTCGGGGGGGCCGTCGGCGGCCTGGACGAGATCGAAGCGGTAGCCGCTGCCGTCGCGGGTGGTGCACGCCTCATCGTGCGCGGTGGGCTCGATTCCAGGCATCTCCGGCAGCGCGACACCAAGCGACAGCGCGTGGTGGCCGGTCGACACCTTGCCAACCATGAAGAAGGTTGCCGGGCGCTCAAAAAAGAACGACCCGGCGCCAGCGACGGTCGCGGGCGCCGGCGAGAAGCCGGACGGCTCGTAGTCGCTGGGCGTCACATCGTCGCGGTAGAGCAGCCTCATGCCACACCACCGCTCCTGCGGCACGTCATCGAGGCCCTGGAGGAGCAGGCTGAGCCGCCGCAGCACGACCTTGACCACGTCCCGGATGTAGTCCTTGGTGACCTTGTCCTTTGGGCGGCTGCGCGCAACCTCGATGCTCTCCGATGCGGGCGCGCCGCCCCCGCCCGAGCGACGGGTGAAGCGAGACGAGACGGTGTCGTCGCTCTCGTAGGTGTAGCTGAGGTCCCAGACCTCGATCGGGTGCTCACAGGCTTGGTCGTGGGCCAGCACAAACATGACCTTCTCCAGGTAGCCGTTGCGCAGGGCACTGCAAGCCGGTCGGGCCGGGTGTGAGCGCGGGAGCTACGGGCGCAGGAGATGGTGCGCGTGGCGGGGCCGAACTCACTCCAAAATGCTGTCGTCGCTGTACCAGGAGATCATGCGGGAG